TACCCTGCAACCGAAGGGTTGTTGGTTCAAATGTCATCATATTACACTTTAAAAGAACTATTAAAAAATAAATGATCAGTATCACATAGTCAGATTCAATGATGTTTACTGTAGAATTGAAACCAACATGGACATACACTCCATAAAAATACCCAAACGTTATTCTTCCGCCCATCGCTGACTTGCAGCATTCACTGATCCTCTGCAAAGAGACATGAACAGCAGACAGTTGGTTTCATATTTGGATTGAATTTACAGCAGTACCTCAAACTGAGTATGACTTAGCAACAGTGTTAAGGAAAACTCCACATGAACAGGAAAGAACTCCAGAAGCACTTGTCTCTGTGGGAACTCAGCGTGTACACTGCCAAAACACTGACTAAAGGTTTGAAAAGACCAAGCATAAATGCCCAAAAAGAAACTCAGATGCACTAATTTGGTAGGACCCTATGTTAAAAAAGTAAAATTAAAAGACATTAGTATCTGTTTTAGTGTCCTCATCTATACGAGAGATACAGCTAAGCGAGTGGTGGCCTGGTCGTTAGAGCAAAGTGCTTTCGGTCTGAGAAGACTGCAAGTATCTGGCCACTCTGGCTCCAAGCTGTGCTCTGTTTCATAACGGATGGGTTAAATTAAAGCTACAGTGTGTAATAATTACAGGGATATACAGTCAGAAATGTAATATATTATACATAACTATGTTATTTATCATCATCTACGAGCTCAGCCTCTTAACCTTAATATTTGCGTTGCCTTAGAATTCGTTATTATTATATATAATTATATTTATAATTACATAGGAGCGGGTCTCGCAGCCATGGAGGCAGAAATCTTTGAGCTACGGCAGCGCAGAGCCAACAAACTAGCGATTGCGAGATCGCCCATTACGCTCGAAAGTAACTACGGCAAGTTGTTTAAGTCTACATGAAATCTATACCCTACACAGACTAATGAAATACTATCTGTAAAATTATCTATGTAAACAAACCTCATCACTTGAGAAGGTAGGTGATGCGGACGTCGTGGAAGACATTTTGTCCCGTAACGCTCGCCGTACTGTTGGGGGGGAGAAGCGGTGGGGGGGAGATGTTCATGTTGCTGCGGTCTGCAGTCTGGACATTAGATGTCGCTGAAAATTACACACTGTAGCTTTAAGAGGTCAAATTTCATTTTAATGTTCATTTGTAATATTGCTTATCCTAATCCAGCTTTGTAGATAAACTCAGAGCAAGTCTTCAAATGCATATGATTAAAAACAGCCTATGCAGCTGGTAAGACCATTGAGCTCCACCAATAAAACCGTTTAGTTATGTGTGAAATTAAGTTTTAAGTTAATAGCTTTCCAGGGATCTCTCGCTTATTGCATTGAATCACTGACTTAAACTGAAGCCTTGTCTTGACTAAGTATGAGGAAAAAGTGAAAAGGAAAAGGAAACCTTTCAACAGGTAGAAACTTTCAGGAGATAATGGATGCTTAAGGTTAGACTGTTTATGAGTATGCAAGCAGCGCCATGCCATAACTCAGAGTGAAAAAGATAGAGAAGACACACAAAAAATAAAAAACATTGTTCCAGATTCTTGTTCACAATGTTAAGTCAGTTAAAAAGAAATATTAGCATCTAATGTCTTAATAATAATAGCAGAGGAATTTCAGATGGGAAGATGTAATTCAATTTGAAATAATGTAATTTGGAGTACCTTGGTTGTATAAATATAGTTTTGAGGTTAAAGTTATCAATATAATGTATTATTATTATTGAATATCATTAAAATTGTAACCTTGACCCCAAAACAGACCTATTCCCTCTTTATAAGATGTGATATGAAGACTAAGTAATTTACTGTATATCTTTTATCTCCTTCCTGGTACCAATGCATCATCACTGGGTGGGCGTGCACTTTCATGTTTGCCATTGCATCTTCTGCATCAAACGTTTGATTACATACTTTAGATACTACAAAAATGAATGTATCCCTTCCACACACTGATACCAACCTATTATGACTTTTCTTCACAATGCATGGATTGAAGATGTAGTTTAAGTTGTCACGTCATCCATTTGGTAGTACCCTTCATTTGAGTTGTAATTTGTTGTATTTGAAACAATCTGTGTCATTAATCTTGCATTTATTTTGTTTAGTGAGATGCATTGACGTCTTATTAAACCTCTGTTTTGACATCTCTGTGATGAGATACACCCCATTACCATCACACAATAACAGCAATCTGACTTGGGATGAATAATGTCTTTGTCTATTGTCTACCAGGACAAAAAAAATCACTGGCACAGGAAAAACTCCTCACTCCAGAGCCATGCCATGCCTTGCTCACAGAGGGATGCACTGAAAGCCTACAATAGGAGGGATGGGTTGTTAGGGATGGGTTGTTTCTTCTCAGCCCTACAAGAGAATCTAAATTAAAAGATACTCAAGGAAAAATATATATAAATATATTGTCTGACACTCAAAAAAGTGAATATGTTTCATCTCTATACTTTAGAAACAAGGGAATTACATTTCCAGATTCTGTTTTAACATTGATGTCTAAAATGAAATTTTGGTATTACATGAACCTGGTATTGGATTACCTCATCATACTTTTCTGCTGTAGAGCAGTGTGATAGCCATGTGTTTGCTGACGAAAAAACAAAATAGATTGGCTGAAGTATAGTGCAATAAAATAATAATTGCTAAAATTGGCTCCCATTGAGAAATAAATACATTTTGGCTCTTAAAATTAACAGTGTGTACTCACTGTCTTTCCATCTTAACCACATCTGCCATCCATTTCTTTCTCTGTTTTTGTTATGCGTATCCTAATCTTCTTTTACACTTGAACAAGGCTTCCATGAGCCATTCACACTGTGATATTAAAAAGATCCCTTTCATCTTTCCATCTGTGGGTGTGTGTGATCCTGCTGTGGGGACCTACTGTGCTGAGAGTGTCACGCTGCCTCTTGTACACTTGCAGTTCTTAGCAGAGTTGGGTTGGGTCGAACTGGAATTTATACTGAGCACTACTAAAAGGGATGGGTACTGAAGAAAGGATTCCATTCCCTCCTTGTTATCATCTAAAGGGGAGAGAGAAATAAAGACAGAAGACACTAACGTTTGAATAAAGTGTAGCAGAGCAGAGATTTCACTGGTGTCAGCAGGAAAATTTTATGTCTGAGTTTATATGGATAAATACAGTACGTAAAGGAAAGACATCAATGCACCTCCTCTTAAATGATGCATATGTGGTAGTTCTTCATTGCCAGTTGTAAACATGTCATGCATTTTAAACATCATTACAGTAGGCTTCACAAATACAGTCCCTTAAACCCCTCTAAAGGTTCTCCATCCATTCAAAATAAGTACAGTTGTCGTGCAGCTTAGACAACACTTAGATTTAAGTGATTCAAATGGTGATGTGAAAAAAAGATTCTTCCTGATGTACTTATAGTATTTTCATGAGTCCCATACATCTTTACGGGATTTGAAGATATAGTTCTGGCTTTTAGAAGTGATCCTTCAGTAGTTATTGTCTTGAAGAGGGTAAACTCTGTTTACAGCTTTATTTTATTTAGCATAGATCTAAACCAGTTGAAGACTGAGGCTAACAGCTTACAGTCTGGGTCTCAGACCAAAAATAATTTTCACCATAAAAAAATAAATAAATAAATAACTCTTGTCTTTAAGACATAAATGAAGTTTATTTAAATGCTATTTTGTTAACATTTGAACTGTTAAAGGTGTAGTGGAGGATGTTCTTTTTCTGGGTGGATCATCAAAATAAGTGGTTCTCCTATTTGTCAATCATTCTGGTGATCTGTGTATGTAAGGCTGTCCTAAGTGCTCGTCCCCATTTCCACTTACCGGTGGTAAGTTTGACATAGTGGAAAAATGGCAAGTGTTATTTTGGGAAGTAAGCCTGTATGAGCGATGCAAACAGATCATGTGAGCGGAGCGGAGCATGGAGCAAGCGGTGGAGCGGAGCGGAAGAAATATAGTGGAGCGCAGAGTGGTTTTCAATTCCAAGGCCAGAGCAAGGATTTCACTATGCAAACTGTTACGTTCACAGCTGGGAAACAGTGCGGTAATTTAACGGCCAGTTAAATAAGACAATACACATGTATCGGTCACATCATTAAATCGTGTCCTAGGGCCCTGGCATAATCACATGAAGGAAAATGTCAGAAAATGCCTTCTCCTGAAAATATGAGTGAGCGTGGAGTGATTTCGCCGGAGTGGCGGGAAAATTAAGGTGAGCACAGAGCGGATTTTGAGCAGAGTATCCTGGCGCAAGAGCAGTAGAGTGAATGAGCGAACATTCTCCTGAGCAGGAATTGCGCGGCGCTCCGTTTATATGCTCTGGCTAGAACGGGAAGAAATGGGCTTGTGCATGCTCTTGCACACACTTAATAGATGTTCAGGTTTGATCTTGTTTTTTAAGTGGAGAGGGCAGGTCTTTTAAAAAATGTGTGAAAATCCTCCCTTATACCTTTACTGCATTTGCATTACACCTTTATGTACTGTTGAACAAATTAGCCTAATATTTACATCTAAAATGGAGGTAGGCCCTTCCAGTGTCTTCCTGTGTGAAACACGTCAATAGCAGCTGAATATTAAGCAGATATGTAAGCTTGTGTAAAAATCTTATCTCTATATTTTTTGATTGTTGTACTCAGACTGTAACTGTCGAGAAAATTATTCCATGTTCTCTTCTCATTCAATATTAAACAAATGAAGATCAGTTATTGCAAACTGCCTCCTGATTTTTACTTTGTGTAAAATTCTCATCTTCTGTGTAAAATAATCATTAAGTGCAACTGGGGAAATAAGATTAAAGAGTCAAAATAAGTAGTTATTATTAGTTAGGTATTGAGCTTAGATTGCATAATTTTATTTCTAAAAAAAATAAAGATCTATAAAAACAAAAGTGAAATATCACATTGTCAAAGTCCTATTTGTTTTTGACCTTTTCTCTCTTTTCCTTTTTATTTTTGCATCCCATAAAGATGTTGTCAACGGGCAGACATCGAATGGAAGACAGCCTGAAGGAGGCAACACACAAGACGACCCATCCAAGCCTCCCGCAGTGAGGGTGGTCGGGGGTACACCGCCTATGAGCTTGCAACAACCTTGGTGCCTTGCTCTGATTTTTGCTGGACTTTGTTTGAAGTCGATGCTGTTCTGATGACAGCATGACCTTAAAAGAGAAAAAAAGTCACTTTTCATCCTTGGAACTTACATCACACTCATATAGACATATCACCAATATGTTCCTTACTCCTGTCATCATCCTGCATGGACAGATGTCAAGAAGGGCAACACAGAAATGAAGAGTGGAACAGTGTGTGGCCAACCGTTCGGGAGCCTGTATATGGGTAAGAGTGGGTAACTGCAGGGTCTTTTCTCACAGGGTCTTCACTGTGAATCCTGTAAAGATTGGACATATGGATTCCACTTTACTGTTCGGGGCAAGATGTGAGCATGAAGGAGTGCTACAGCTCTTGCTTCACTTGCACAGACCTAACCTTTGGGATTTAGAATGGGGTAGCATAATTCTTAAGAATGTTTACAACTGTAAACACTTAACTCCAGTCGTAATTCAAATGACATATAGCACCTGTTGTCTTTTTCTACTGCTGATTTAACTTATCCTCTAAGCTTTGAAGCTCTTCACAGCACTGTACTAATGCCAGCCAGGTGGGAAAATTATGTGCTTTCATAGATTTAACTCCTTTCTTTTTTGGGATTAAGGAATGCATGAAAAACTAATAGATCCGTCCCAGGTGCCTGGCTCGTAACAGCAGATTTGAAATGCTCTAATGACTGTGTAGCTTGCAGGGATTAGAATGTAATGACTTCACTGGTACATCACAAGCTTCCTTGCACGACTGAACATATTGTGCAGACAAACTAGGTGTGAATACTCTAGAAAGCAACTGTATATAGGTAGAGAGATTTGAGTGAATGTGTGACATGAGCTGAATGGATTGTTAATTTGTTTTCTTTCATGAATGGGCTATGTTTGTCGGCTCTACACAACATGTCAAAATCATTCTAATGTTGAACAAAAAGGGGAAACATACATTAATTACCACAATCAGTCATTGCAAGAATTGGGAGCTAGTGCTTTTTCCTGTTTTGTGTATTTGCCTGATAAATTGAAAATTTGCACGTATGACATCTTTCAAAATAGTTATGGCCCTTTCTCACAGCCGCAGTTCCAAATATTTTATTTATTTTTACATATCTCTCTTAAAAATTCCAAAAGCTACATTATATCTTCTTTTCTGACTTTCTACACAAATGTCTGTTATGGAATTACACAATCATGTGGCATTCCTAGGCTTTAAATGCTTGCCTTTTTTCTTTTTGGGGTTGGGGGATTCCAACAACTGAATGTGTTTTAATCATACTGTGTTGCTACAGTAGAAATCAATCAGATTTTGTTTAGATGTGGATACTTATGAGTCTCAATTTTTCCCCATGCTGTGAAATTGACTGGCACTAACAGAAAGGCATATGTTGCAAATCAAATATTTCCTTATACTGTATCAAAAGACATAATATCTTTTTTTATATTGTCACACATCAGCCATAACTTTCCCTCTTTAAGGTCAGTTTCCATCTGCCAATTGCCAAATCAGTGAGAGAAATCGATATTTTTATCAAGGGTTTTATCTTAAAAAGGTCTATTGGTATAAATATACACATTCACAGATGTTACAGACATCATCATTTACACAGTTATTACTCATAGCCCACATGACCATAACCATTGTAAAGATATGTATAGATCCATCTACAGTGGCTAAGAGTAACCGCTGATTTTCAACACCCATGGTCCATTTTTGATCTTTTTAAGAGAACTTGTTTAGACCTTTTATTAAACAGTCCCATGCTTGGATATTTCTTTAATTCTAGTTTGTTCCATCATTTAACACCATTTAATAATGGTCATCTATTATGACTTTTAGATCTATATTCCCTCTATAATTACCAAAAAAACAAACTTGGTTTTCTCCAAATTTAAAGACAGTTTGTTGCTGTGAAACCAGTTTTTTGAAGGAATTAATACCATATTTTCAAAAAAAAGAACTGATCTTATTATTTTGGCATTTCAGAAATTATATTATGACCCCATCTGACCTAAAAACTAAATGTGATTTGAAGTCAGACACTGAAAAATATTTGTATCTTTTTTTTACAGTGTATGTAAATACATGATTTCCACACTTGCTGAGTTGGGCTGATAATTAGAACTACACCTTACCTGAAAACAGAATTATAAAGTGTGATTAAAACACCTATGGATTTGCATCAGATGCCTTCAAGCCAATTTGGAATAAAGGGGGGAAAAAAACTGTTGTTACTATGCAAGCTTTTGAAATGTGTTATTTCAACAAATGTTGAAGTGTAACATGTGCTCTTTAATTGCAGCTGGTCTATCAGTTTTGTTTCAAAGCATTAAACTCACCCATCTGTTTCTTGCAGATTTATGCCCTCGCATGTGTATAAATGTACAGATTTTTCATCCTTGTCATTTGTTTTGTGTTTAATTGTATCTTTTTGTATCGTAATGATACACTGGGGTTGAGCTCTATTAAAAGTGCTCTTCTCTTTCTGCCTGTCTCTTGACTTTAGTGATGTTATAATTAAAACATTTATTTTTATTTTATTTTATTAATGACAACTCCAGTACACCTGTACACATATGCTAATTGTTAATACAGACTATATTTTTAATCATATGGCACCGTCTAGCATCTTCAGTTAATTTCTACTTAATTTTCTACCTAAATATGTCACGTACTATATGAAAGTACTTTTGGCACTTACAGAGTCTTTGATTTTTTTTTTTTTTTTTTTTGGCTAAGCTGATCTTTGCAAGTATTGCTTTACATCCTAAGGTTGTTGAATTTAACAGAAAATAAAGAAGGCTTTATATGCCGCTTTACAAAGGGACTAATTATAGTATAGGAATTATACAGTATAATGATTATAGTGCAGTCACTATCAAGTTGTATTTAGCAGCGTGTTCTCTCTAAACATGAAGACAAAGATTGAACTTTCTGATGCTAGTGTTGAGGAAGATTTAAGGTTAGGGTCTAGCCATTGTCTTTCACCATTTGCATCAAGGAATAATTTAGCTTAACATACCAGTCTGTGTTTGCTGCAGGAGTGTGACAGTGCAGAAGACATGAAAAGCTCAGGCACAGTCAAAGCTGGTCAGGATGACAGCAGCATAAATCAAACTAGCTGTGAATGACCTCTTGGTTTCTCCTGTAGAGGAGATTTGTTTTATTAGATTTTATAAAATCTTAATATAATTCCTGGTGGATCTTGATTAGATTCTGGTCATTTTGTCATTTTACCATGTTGTACTTTTGCATAATAAAATGTAGGGGGGTATTTTCTTACTTGCTTTGAACACTGATAAGCTGAGCAAATTTTCCGTATTATATTAAAAAGTTTTCGTTAAGAGAGTATGTCAAAAATAATATTTATTAGCAGCAGGTCACTATGTCAATTTGGTTTAATCCAAGGCCATAATCTTAATTTTCTTCGAGAGTGAACAATGGATCATGGAAACTATCAATAGAAATACGATGCTGTGAAATAATTTGATTTGTATGCTGGTACTGTAATTATTATGATAAATAGATGGTTGATATGATAAATTAAGAGACATATATAATAAGATGTGAACTGGAGATATTGTAGCCTGTGCTGTAAAAAAATTTAGTTTGAAGGAAGAAAATTGAAATTTGATGTAGTGTTTAAATGTAATAATTCTTTCGTACAAGGACAGCCCCAGCTTTACAAACACATTTTAATTCTTACTTGAAACATTCTTTTTCAGCAATATATTTAACCTGTTTCAGCTAAGGAAAAAATAAATAAACATTACAAAATGTATCAAGTTAAAAACAATATAAAAACAAAAACCTCTCATTTTGTTTTTCAAATATACTGCTGCATAACAGTCGACTGGCCTACAGTCTTACTTTGATTGTTTAGCAAAACTACTTAAGCAAACATTGAACAATACTTCCTTACATTTGTACAAGCTGTATGCATTCACTGGTATCCTTTTAGTCTGTTTTGTACATCTTAAACTAAGTAGCTGTATTTTTAAAGGGAGTAGAGTCTCCAGTCTCAATTTGGTGTTTTACCTTTTCCTTATTTATCTGTCTTGATATATAAATGAACTGTGATTGTTGCAATTACGTATAGCATTCAAGCAAAATGGTTAAAGCCTTAAACCTATAAATACACCAACTTAGAAAAAATGTGTCAATATCTATGACCTGAACTTTTGTTTCAAACCTAGCCTAAAGAATGAGGTGTATGCAGACAGACATGTTTGAGAACAAGAGTGGTCAATAAGGTTCAACAGTGTTTGGATGATCTGAGGTCACAGCTGCTTAGATGTATGGCTGGGCTATTTTAAACGATGGCATACATAAGCGCTTCTGTCCCTGCAGTGCAGCTTAATGTGTAACAAAACATCCTCACATTTTGGATAAGGATAAAATCTAATTCAAAGAGACGTCACACCTGACACACTGAACTGATGTATTTTTTTTCTATTATTTGATCCCGTCAAAAGCATAGTGAAAACAGAGCAGCTCACTTTCGCACTCATGAACTCATCCACCACCCCCTACCTCAAGATTTTCTTACCTTTTCAGCACCCTGTGACAAACTTGAACTGGAAGAAAGAGGCAATGGAGACGAGATGGCACTAGAAATAGCTTCTCAAAGATAGACAATTGGGTGAGTCCTGTGTCTCTTTTTAACCACAGCTCCTCCTCTTGACTTTGAGTGATCAGATGTATCAGTTACTCTCTAGTCAAAGCTTTGTCAACCCTTAGAGCTTCATACATAGACAGTCATAGCAAGCTGCTGACCAGTTTTTTTTTTTACTACAACCTAGTTTTAAGTACAGTAGATTTAAATATTTCATTTGAAAACTCCATAGCAGAATCATTTTTGATATTATCAGGAATAACTTGGATAAATACTTTAAGAACAGTCATCATCAAATACAGTATTTTCATTGAGAGCACAAAATTACATGTTTTTAACCTGACAGTCTTCATAATCCATTTTAACATTCATGCCTAGCAGTAATCTGAAATCCCTGGTCAAAAACAAATATTAGATTTTTTCCATGTAAAGTACTCTAAAGTTCAGACAGTATAATAATGGAAAATACTTTATGTAACCATCTGTGCTTGGCTGATTACTGCCTCAAGTAAGTTATTCTAGATGGACTACATCAAGTATGAGCAGTTATTCTGCTTTGCAATTCTTTTAGAGCCTACAGGATTTCCATCTTATTCTTCCTCTTATGAAAGAAAAATAGAGGCAGACTTTAACTACAGTATCATATCCAAGGCCAAAGGACTAAGCTGTTGGCATTTGCTGTGGGAGGGAGAGCACATGTTTACTATTCAAAAAGGACAAACTAGTCAAAGGTTCAGGCAAACATCATTCATTGTAAGGGAAGAAAATCCATTCTTTATATTTTTAAAGGTAGGTGGGATTAGAAATTAATATTTAAAACCTTTTTTTTGCTAATGACTTTAGCTGTAACCATACAAAAGATACAACTGATAAGTAATGTCAATAGAATTTTGAGGGGGAATTATTCGTTTTATGGCAGTGAGGCGGTATGCTGGTGAAGATTCTCAGTCATCCAGGTCATAGTCGTTCCAAAAAAGTTACAACCCACTGGACTTTGTTTTCCAAGTTTGATGACGGTAGGTGTTGTAGATGGTGCAATTGTTGGTAGCGTTGCCCTACAGCAAAAAGACCAAAGTTAAAATTTCCAACCTTTGCATTAGGATTGTCAGCCATTGTTAAGTCTGAATGTGTGCTATACACTGTTGGCTTTCTGCTCTGCCTGTCTCAGCAACTTCCTCTGATTCACTGTAGTAACATGTCCAGGCTACATCCCGTGTCTCATTTTAAGCCTAAAGAATCATTTTTAGCTTTTTAGCAGCTTAACATAAAGCCAATAAACAGGGGTGTGAAAAAGTGTATGCCCCTTCTTGATTTTTTTGTTCTTTTGCATTTTTGCAGATTTCAAATGAAGGTTTTTATTATTAAAAGAGAGAAAAAAATCATACCTGAGTTCAATTTCTTGCTGCAGCCAGTCTGATTACTGAAACATCTGTTCCCAATCAAGAAATCCCTTAAATATGTCCTGCCTTACAAGGTGAAGTACACTAAACTATCCTCAAAAGCTGGACATCATGTTGAATTCCAAGCTATTCATGAACAAAAAAAGAAAGAAAGCATCTGAGATCTATAAGACTGGAAACAGTTACAAAACCATCTCCAAGGCTTTGGGCCTTTAGTGAGTCACACAGTAAGGGTCATTATCCATAGATCACAAAAACATGGAACAGTTGAAAACCTTCCGGTCGGCAAAAATGACCAAAATTACCCCAAAACTGCTGTGGTAGCTCATCCAAAAACTCACAAAAGATCTCACATCAACATCCAACCTGAACGCCTCACCAGCTTTGGTGAAGGTCAGTGTTCATGTCTCCACCATCTCAAGGAGACTGGGCAAAAATTGCCTACACTGTAAAGTTTCACACTTTTTACA